AATAAATCACAGTCTTTCAAGTGTTTCACACCCCTTAAATAATATGTAGAACCCACAACTGATCACAAGGACTTCACTTCCTGCTGAAGCTAACAAAAGTATTAATCCCACAGCTTTGATTTGTTTGCCCGTCTATACACTTGTTCACACACTTTCCCGCATTCGTTAAGTTACTTCCCTACAAGGGAGCAGAATTAACCATCTCAGGTCAGCTGACCTTACAAATTCAGGAGCTCCCATCGGACATTACAGAGGGCAACAAGGGAACTGGTGTATGATTTCAGCCCCCATTTTAACAGTCTTCACCTTGTCTCATAGTTACACTGTACCTGATGCTAGATATCAAGCCCATCTCTCTCACTTAGAATTAATATAAAATTTGCAACCTAAGTATTATTTATTTTTCACATTTAGCCAATGAAAAAAATATTATCCTCTGTACCATGTTTCCTTTTTAAATTTGTCACCCTGGGGGCACCTGGGTGGCTCAGTCAATTAAGCGTCTGCCTTCAGCTCAGGTCATGATCCCAGGGTCCTGGGATCCAGCCCCGCATTGGGCTCCCTGCTCAGTGGGGAGTCTGCTTCTCCCTCTGCCCCTCTCCCCTGCTTGTGCTCTCTCTCTCTCTCAAATAAATAAATTAAATCTTTAAAAAAATAAATTTGTAATGCTGGAATTCTGTAACTTTTACCTAGATTGTTTTCCTTCTCATTTGTAGGATTCTGTGCCTTCTTTATATCTTACTTTCTCACTGGCTTCATCATTTAATAGACATTCTCTTTGCTGACTTTTGGGGAAAACTATTGCTCTTTGTATATTTATTTTGTAAACTTCTAGACCTCTCATTATTTCTGATAGTTTTTTTATGATTCTCCTAGATTTCATGCAAAGAAAGATAATTATTATTTCTTTATTTCCAATAGCTGTATTTTGTTCTGTCTCCATGGTTTTTTTGTTTTTGGGGGGTTTTGCTTGTTTTTGCTTGAGCTTCCAGAAAAAATGTCAAATGATAGCGGTGGCTCACATCCTGGTTTAGTTTCTGACTTTGAAGAGACAACTCCGGTGTTTTATTTTTAACTGTGATGTTGACTGTTGATCTGAGATTCTTTTATCATCTATTCCTTAATTCATTACATATTTATTGTTCCCCATCCAAGTGCATTGGATTTGGCAATATGTAGGGTACTGATCGCCTTGGGGAAAGCAGTTTCCATGGCGTGGTGCCAGCAACAGCCAGATTGCAGTGGTTTGCAGAGAGGCATATGATGGAAACCTTTTTCTTTAATGCGTGCCAAGGGTTTTCATCAGGAATGGATGCCGAATTCTTTTTAAATGCTTTTTCGGTATTTATTAGTTAAATTGTATCATTTTTTTTTCTTATTTGACCTATTGGCATGATCTAACATCTTAATATATTTTCATTCATTCAAGAAATATCTGGGTGCCTACTATAAGCCAGGCATTCTTCTATTTTTGTAATATTAAATTGGTAATTTTTATAAAATGTTGTAGGGCTTGGTGATATCTCTGATACCCATTTGTAAATATTAAATAGTTTTTATAATACTAAGACAGACCACACTTAGCTGTGGCATGTTATTCTTTAATTTTTAACTACTAAATCAATGGATCTTATTATTAAGAATTCCAAAAATACAAAAGGATGTAAAACCAGGAAGTCCACATCCAATTTTCCAATACCCCTAAGGGATATTCCCAATTGACTTCGGGATACTTCGGGACTGTTTTCTTTTTCCATTTTAATAAACTTCTAAAATTCATTGGCAAGCATTTTATGTAGGATTTTCACATTAATATTCACAGTTGAGGTACAGATGTCACGGTCGGAGAGCCACACCTGAGTCCACATCAGGTTGGCCCTTGCTAAATGACACTTTGTTGCAGTTCTTGACCCATCTGTTCTGTCTGGGCAACATGGCATTCCTTCCAGCTATGAGCATGCTGGGCACCATGCAGAAGTAGCTGAGGTTCATTTGTTCAGAGAGAATTCATCCAGCACTTTCTAACTCCGTGGAACTTCCATTCTAGGCAAGGGGCAAATAATAAGAGAAATAAGTAAAATGTGTAGTATGTTAGACGGTGATAGGAGGTATGGAGAAAAAGAAGGGAAGGGGGTCAGGAGACATTACTGAGAGAGGGGGAACGGTAGTTATTATGGGAAGGAAGGTCCCATGTGGGGAGGTAGAGGGTATTGCTACCAGAGAATTCAGACAGCAGGGAGAATGAATGATGTACAACTACTTGCCACAATATCAATAAATCTTGCAAATACCATATTGAGCAAAAGCAAGGCGCAGGAGAGTGCATTCCTGTATGACTCCATTTGTACAGAGAACGAAACATAGATTCAGGCAACATGGATCTACCCTCTAAAAGTCAGGAGCAGTGACTGTGAAGCAGAGAGGGTCCTGAAGAAAACAGTGGGAATTCTGGTGATGTTCTGTTTCTTAACCTGGGTGTTGTGAACACGCGTGTGTTCAGCTTGTGAAAATTCATCAAACTGAACTTTTGAAATGTGTGCATTTCCTATATGAATACCACATGTCAACAGTTTCACTATTATTTTTTTAAATTCAAAATTAACTATCTTATAGGTGGCACAACCACCAGGGGGACCCTCCTTCAAATCTGCTGCCTTGTCTTACTTCCCCAATGCCAAACACACTGAAGGGATTCAGTGTGTGTGTGTGTGTGTGTGTGTGTGTGTGCGTGTGTGTGAATATATGAATGATTGAACAAATGCATCTCTATCATCTCTAAAAGGTTTTGTATTTAGTCTCCCCTTAAACTGATCACATTGGGAAAACAGAAACAATATCTACTTTTACTGTTGTTCCCATGTTTGTTTTTAAAAAAAAAAATCACTTCTGCCTTCCCTCTGTTTATATGAGAATAATAAATGCATTCAATGGACATTCAGCCTAATTTTAGGTTTTAGAGTCAGGAGAGCAAGTATAACAAGGATGAAAAATTCGTCCATTGGATTTGGCAACATGTAGGTTCTTGATGGTGGAAGCAGTTTTACTCATGTGGAGGCAGCAGAAGCCAGAACGCAGAGGTTCAAGAAGAGATGGGATGCGAAGAAGGGGAAATGGAGCATGCTGAAAAATATTTCAAATTCCTTGGCTCTGAAAGGAGAGAATTGTGTGGGGCTGACAATTTTTCTTTAGTGTTGGTGTGAGTGTTTATCATAAAAGATGAGAAAGACTAACACATATTTATGTGCTAAAAGGGGGTCAGTCAATCGACAGGAATCATTTCCTTCATTTATTTCTGCTTTCAATCTTTTAGTCAGTCCTGTATTCTGTAACTACTTCACTAAGTACATGCTATGCAGGCGGCAACAGAACAGGGAATTAACTAGACACAATCTCTGCCCTTGTGCGGCTTACAAAGGGGTACAACTGTAAAGTAGATACAAATGTTGACAAGAGAGACTGTTGGTGGGACGCCTGGGTGGCTCAGTCAGTTGAGCGGCTGCCTTCGGCTCAGGTCATGATCCCAGGGTCCTGGGATCCAGCGCCTCATCGGGCTCCCTGCTCAGCGGGAAGCCTGCTTCTCCGTCTCCCACGCCCCCTGCTTGTGTTCCTGCTCTCGATTTCTCTGTCAAATAAATAAAATCTTAAAAAAAAAAAAAAAAGACTGTGGCTAGTGCTCGTCCTAGGCAAGAGTGTGGAAGAGGAGCATCAGGTAGGGGAAGCCAGGTAGAGGGTGGGAGGCTGAAGGCAGGCGGTTCCCAGCGCTCTGATGCAGGCAGAGACCTCAGAGACACTAGCGCACCAGCCAGCAGCCTTGGTGCGCAAACCCAGCAGTTGTCAAGGGCGACTTGTGAGACCTGTAAATAAGACTATGGAGAATTCTGTAGAATCCCACACACGGATCAGTAGGCAAGTGTAGAAGGTGAAAACTGTAGAGTCAGTTTCCCTTGAAAACCTCTAAGGAAGGGCCCTCTGGGTGGCGTAGTTGGTTAAGCGATCGACTCTTAGTTTCTGCTCGGGTCGTGATCTCGGAATGGTGAGATTGAGCCCCGTGTAGGGCTCCACACTCAGCGCCGAGACTGCTTGAGATTCTTCTCTCCCTCTGCCTCTGCCCCTCCTGCTCATGCTCTCTCTCTCTCTCTCTCTCAAATAAATAAATATATCTTAAAAACAAAACCCTCTAAGGAAGAGGCCATACCAGAGATACTATGCTGTTAGGTTTTCTCTCAGCATCATTAAAGATTTTTGTTTCTTTAGTTGACCATGAGCTAAAGTCATTGTTTGCATTTAGGAGCTTTGTATTAAAATCATTTGTATAATTCTCAGCTTAATGATAACCTCACCGGATGGGAAGGAACGTCACAGGATGGGAGGTTTGCAACTACTGAGACCAATGGAAGAGATGAGAGGTCCATTTTTCCCACCTCACGTTCATTCCTCACTAAGTGATGAGCTTTTCCTTCTTGGGCTCTCTCTCTTTCCCTCTCTCTCTTTTTATTTGGAAGGTGGATAATTAAGTCCTCAATGAGTGTAACTCTGTTGTAGTCAAAAGACTGCAGGTGATTATTTTTAATATTAATAAAAATGCAGTCAGGGGTACCTGGGTGGCTCAGTTGTTAAGCGTCTGACTTCGGCTCAGGTCGTGATCCCAGGGTCCTGGGATCGTGCCCCACATCGGGCTCCCTGCTCAGTGGGAAGCCTGCTTCTCCTTCTGCCACTCCCCCTGCTTGTGTTCCCTCTCTCGCTGTGTCTCTCTCTGTCAAATAAATAAATAAAATCTTTAAAATAAATAAATAAATAAAAAGAAAAATGCAGTCAGATTGTCTTCCCTGCATTCCAATATGCTTTCTTGAGTGGGGAAGGAAGAGGTGCAATCAGGTAGCTCCTAGGAGTTGCATATGGGTGTGTCTCTTAGGTAAATATACCTCACTGGCTGTGTTTGGGAGGGAAAAATAATTAAAAGTAGAGAATCACTAATATAATGCAACCCCTTCATTTCTCAGGTGTGAAAACTGAGGCCCAGAGAGGTGATGTGATTTGCCTAAAGTCATGCAACTAGTGGCAGAGCCAGGCCTAGAAGCCAGGTGTCCTGGCTCTCGAGACATTCCGCTGCCCGAGGAATGGAACAGGTAGTATCACTCGTGCTGGGGGCCGTGGGTCGGTCCGTTCCGCCCAGAGCTGCCTGGGCTTCCAACTAAGGAAGGCAGAGCCGGGCTGTGGTGACTGAGTGGAGATTCAAGGAACATTTCCAGCCTCTGGGACAAATAAGTTACCACCCAAGCAATGCATTAGGACAGGGACTCAGGCATAGGAGTGAAGAAGGGAGATATCCTCAGAACTGGGGCATGCGGTTGCAGGAGCCCAGTTACAAGCTGGACCCTTAATCAGACCTGAAATAATAGCCAGAGGGACTGAGCTCCTGAACCTTTAAATCTCTCTAGACTGAGAAAAGAATCCATTCCACTGATGAGAACCATACAACCCAGTCTATAGAGAAAGTAGAATTCCTTCATGGTTGCCATGACATTGTGGTTCCAGAGAGTCCTTTTTCTTGAATTAACCCAGGCATTCACTCCATAACTCAGAGGCTGGTTTTGTTGGCAGGACTGTTGATTAGGACAGATATGGAGGCCTTATCTCCATCTTCCTTAGTCTTGCTGTGGTTTCTTTCAGCTGCCACCCCCTCCACCATTCATTCTCAGGGACAGCTCATGCTACTGGCTTCCACCCTCGTTGCTTAGTCCCTGTCTGGGACTTCCCTAACCCTTCAGACTTCATGCTTGACACCATCTGCACCTGATTCAGCATCTCCCTCTGGCTATACTTCTGTAGTGGACATGGTGATCGCTTCTCCAACATCCATCCACCCCATCCCCATAGCAGCAGAAATACAGTTTGGGGAATTGAAAATCCTGGTCCACAAACTGCCACTGACTCCATATGGCGTTCCGCTTCCATGCAATCCTTGTCTCGGCACCACTTACTCCAGAATTGAAGTCCCAGGAGTAAGCACCTGATCACTCGGGTTCATGGCTACCTCTTTGGACCTGGCTCCCTCTGCCTCCACAGTGGGAATTGCACGAAGAGGCAGGTGGCTTCAGTTGCCCTCATGTCAGACCGAATCCCAGTGGGTAATTCCCCCGGAGGAGATCTGGCACTAATAAGAAGGGAGGGATTCTAGATGAGTGCTGATCAATAGAATACTAATGCAAGCCACATACATACTTTAAAATCTTCTAGTAACCACATTTTAAAAGGTAGGAACAGGTGAAATTAATTTTAATGGTACATTTTATTTAATCCGATATTTCCAAAATTTCATCACATCAACATATGTTCAATATTAAAAAATCATTAATGAGGGGCGCCTGGGTGGCTCAGTCGTTAAGCGTCTGCCTTCGGCGCGGGTCATGATCACAGGGTCCTGGGATCGAGCCCCGCGTCGGGCTCCCCGCTCGGCGGGAAGCCTGCTTCTCTCTCTCCCACTCCCCCTGCTTGTGTTCCCTCTCTCGCTGTGTCTCTCTCTGTCAAATAAATAAATAAAATCTTTTAAAAAAAAAATCATTAATGAGATATGTTCCTTTTTGTGGTGGTTGTTATAAGCCTTTGAGATCTAGGTTGTATCTTATACTCAGCACACCTCGATCTAGATGCTAAATTTTTGTTAGAAATATTTAATCTGGGGCACCTGGGTGGCTCAGTCATTAGGTGTCTGCCTTCTGCTCAGGTCATGATCCCAGGGTCTTGGGATCGAGCCCTGCATTGGGCTCCTTTCTCCGTGGGGAGCCTGCTTCTCCCTCTGCCTGCCGCTCCTCCCTCTGCCTGCCGCTCCTCCTGCTTGTGCTCGCTCGCTCTCTGTCAAATAAATAAAAATAAAATCTTAAAAAAAAGAAATATTTAATATGCATTCATATTTACAGTTGAAAAAGTCAAGTCACATACCCAAGCTCTTTCAAACATACTTAAAAGTTTTTCAATTACTGGATCAAGTACCAATAAATTTTCCTTTAATGTTTGCTTCTACATTGACAAAATGAATTCATCTTTATTAGAAATATTGTTTGTAGCAAAAGCAGATCAGTGTCAAAATTAAGTCTGTCCAAGTTATGTCAATTCACTGACTCATGTCAACTCAGTATTATTAACATGGAATGTAAAGGGGTCTTGCATAAATTGAAAAGTAACTCTGAGTTCATCAATGCCAACAAAACATTCTTCAAATTTTTCTTGTAGGTTTTGTAGATAGTTTACATAATGCTGGTTATTACAATTAAAAATCTTTTTTTTTTAAAGATTTTATTTATTTATTTGAGAGAGAGAGAATGAGAGAGAGCACATGAGAGGGGGAGGGTCGGAGGGAGAAGCAGACTCCCTGCAGAGCAGGGAGCCCGATGCGGGACTCGATCCAGGGACTCCAGGATCATGACCCGAGCCGAAGGCAGTTGCCCAACCGACTGAGCCACCCAGGCGCCCCAGAATTAAAAATCTTTTGTGTATATATTCATATTAGAAAATGTGTTAAATCATTCAGTAAATCATTTATTTATTATGAGAAGTTTCCATTCCAATGTAAATTCTTGCAGCCTTCTAGGTCACAAGGAAGCTTTTTGTGTCCTTAGAGCTTCAAATTTGTCTCATTCAAATATACTGTGATATCAATGAGAAAACATAGATTGCCGTGTTTTGTTTTTGATTATTAAATATTTGGTAAGAATTCCTTTTGTTTCAAGCAAATCTTGAATTAGCATTCACAGCACAGTAAATCTTTGTAAAACCCTTCCATGACCCAACCAATGAACATAGATAGAGACAAGATCATCACATTTATTGCTTTCTGTTCTTTTCCAAAAGGTGGTGATTCACAGCATTTGAATGTATACATTGAACAATTTTAACAGCTATATCCATGACACTTTCCACAGAGTCTACTTCTGAAAATGAACACAAATATTTTCAATTTTTATCATACAGTGGAATGAAGCAATAAGGGAAACATCAGTCTCCTGTTTTGAAATTACAATAAATCTATAATTTTTTTTTTTTTTTTTTTTTTACTGAACATAGCTGGAGCACCATCTGGCATGATAGAAACTAATTTATTTCATATCTAACTGAGTTTCTTCTTTCTCAGATGTAAAAAATTTTTAAAAATCTCTGTCACAGTTTATATTTTTAAGCAATGAATTGACAATGTTTCTTCATAAATTTGGAAGACCTTTAAAACTAAATATACTGAGGGCGCCTGGCTGGCTCAGTCAGAGGAGCATGCGACTCCTGATCTCAGGGTTGTGAGTTTGAGCCCCACAGTGGGTGGTGAGATGACTTAAATAAACTTTTAAAAATAAATAAATAAAAATAAAACTAATTATATTCAAAGTATTAATTGGGCAGTGTTTCATGGTATAACTTGGCTACAATTTGCTCTTTTTTTCAAAATTTGAATTTATCTTTAAGTTCTTTTATTCTGTGGGCAGTTGTTTGGTGGCTTAATTGAAAATTGTTCACTTTTTGGGTGCCTGGGTGGCTCAGATGGTTAAGCGTCTGCCTTCGGCTCAGGTCATGATCTCAGGGTCCTGGGATCGAGTCCCGCATCGGGCTTCCTGCTCCTTGGGAGCCTGCTTCTCCCTCTGCCTCTCTCTCTCTCTCTGTCTCTCATGAATAAATAAATAAAATCTTTAAAAAAAAAAAGAAAATTGTTCACTTTTTATAAGAATATCTTTTTAGTCTTTTTCTCATGATTTTCTAAAAAACTTTTCACAACTGAAATAATAATTTACCATCTTTTCATTAAAAATTGTGTGCGTGCATGTGTGTACAAAAATCCAGATCACTTTCTACCTGGCCAAAATCATACTCTCTGATCTTGTTAAAACCTATTAAAAAAAATTTTTTTTGTTCAACATTTTATTCCACTTTCAGGCAACTAATTTCATCAGTTCTTTTTTTTCTATCGCAAAACATACATAACGTAAAATGTACCATTTTTAAGTGTATAGTTCTGTGGCATTGAGTTCATTCACATTATGCAACCATCACCACCATCCATCCCCAGAACTTGGTTTTTTTTTTAACATTTTATTTATTTATTTGTCAGAGAGAGCATGCGCACGAGCAGGTGGGGGGCAGACAGAGAAGGAGATGCAGGCTCCCCACTGAGCAGGGAGTCAGACGTGGGGTTTCATCCCAGGACCCTGGGGTCATGACCTGAGCCGAAGGCAGACGCTTAACCGACTGAACCACCCAGGTGTCTTCAGAATTTGTTTTATCTTCTGCAACTGAGTCTCAACTGCCCCCTTCTCCCCAGCCCCTAGGGACCGCCATTCTAACTTTCTGTCCCTTTGAGTTTGACTGTCCTAGGCACCTCATATAACTTGAATTATACAGTGTTTGTCTTTTTGTGACTGGCTTGTGTCACTTACTATAATGTCTTTAAAGTTTATTCATGTTATAGTACAAGTCAGAATTTCCTTCCTTTTTAAGGCTGAATAATATTCCATCGTAAGCACCTGCCGTATTTTGTTTATCCATTCATCCTTTAGTCGACACTTGAGTTGCTTCCAGCTCTTGGCTATTGTGAATAATTCTGCCCTGCACATGGGTGTACAAATATCTGTTGGAGTCGGTGCTCTCACTTCTCTTGGGTATATACAGAGATGTAGAATTGTTAAATCCTTTGGTATTTCTAGGTTTAATTTTTTGAGGAACTACCATACTGTTTTTCACCATGAAAGTACCATTTTGCATTCCCAGCAGTAATGTACAAGGGTTCCAGTTCCTCATCAACATGTGTTAGTTTTTGGTAATAGCCAACCTAATGGGCGTGAGGTGGGAGCTCACTGTGATTTTGATTTGCATGTCCCAGTGATTTTGATTTGCATTTCCCTCCTGACTGGGAAGTGATAATGGCCATCTTGTCATGTGTGTCATCAATCCTTCTTTTAAAAAAAGTCTTTATTTGAGTACAATTGATATACAATGTTGCATTAGGTTCAGGTGTATAATCCAGTGTTTCAAAAAGTTGATACATTATGCTGTGCTCACCACAAGTGTAGCTACCATCTGTGAGCATACAGTGCTATTACAGTATCATTAGCTATATTCCTTATGCTGTGCCTTTTATTCCTGTAACATATTCATTCCATACCACAAGCCTGTATCTCCCACCCTTCTTCACCCATTTTGCCCATCTCCCACTCCCTTCCTTTTGTCAGCCCTCAGTTCCCTGTATTTACAGGTATGATACTGCTTTCCGTTTGTTTATTCATTTTTTTTAGATTCCACATATGAATGAAATCATTTAGTATTTGTCTTTCTCAGTCTGATTTATTTCACTTAGCATTCATTCGTGATTCCATGCATCCATGTTGTGGCAAATGGTACAATCTCATCCTTTCTTAAGGCTGCATAATATTCCATATCTTGCCTATTGTAAGTAATGCTGTAATAAACACAGGGGTGCAAATATCTTTTTAAATTACTGTTTTTAGTTTTCTTTGGGTCAATACCCATAGTGGAATTATTGGATCGTATGGTATTTCTATTTTTAATTTTTTTGAGGAACCTCCATACTGTTTTCTCTAGTGGCTACACAATTTACATCCCCACCAACAGTGCGTGAGGGGTCATTTTTCTCCACATCCTCCTCAACACTTGTTATTTCTTGCCTTTTTGATGCCAGCCATTTTGACAGGTGTGAGGTGATATCTCACTGTGGTTTTGATTTGCATTTCCCTGAGGATGAGTGATGTGGAGCATCTTTGCATGTATCTATTGGCCATCTGGATGCCTTCTTTGAAAAAATGTCTGTTCAGGTCCTCCGCCCAATTTTTAATCGGGTTATTTGGGGGTTTTTTGGTGTTGGGTTGTATAAGTTCTTTATATATTGCAGAAATTAACCCCTTATCAGATACAGCATTTGCAAATATCTTCTCCCATTCCATGGGATGCCTTTCGTTTTGTTGATGGTTTCCTTTGCTGTGTAGAAGCTTTTTATTTTGATGTAGTTCCAGTAGTTTATTTTTGCTTTTGTTTCCCTTGCCATCAATTCTTTTTTGAATGTTGAAAGAAAACCTCTTATCAAATTCACTGTGTGTGCTGAAAATGCCTCAATATTTTCCACTTTATTATCTTTTTAAATGTTTGTCCTACAACAAACACAGCATTTTTGTTTTGCTTTGCCCAGCAAATTATAGTTGCCATTCATCATGAAATTTGTGGTTTATCTTCTTTCAGTCTCTTTTCTTTCTTTCTTTCTTTCTTTCTTTTTTTTCTCTTCTGGTCATAGCACTAGCTTCTGCATCTCCATTTGGTTCTGCATTCATTGTATACTTTCATTTTAAATTTAAAATTGCGTCCCTACATAGAAAAATGATTGGATTTTATGATAGTTAAAATAATATGGCGTTTGACTTAATTACCACTTGTGGTTTACAAAGGTATCATGCAGGGGCGCCTGGGTGGCTCAGTTGGTTAAGTGACTGCCTTCGGCTCAGGTCATGATCCTGGAGTCCCGGGATCGAGTCCCGCATCGGGCTCCCTGCTCCGCGGGGAGTCTGCTTCTCCCTCTGACCCTCCCCCCTCTCATGCTCTCTGTCTCCCATTCTCTCTCTCAGATAAATAAATAAAAAATCTTTTAAAAAACCAAAAAAACAAAAAAACAAAGGTATCATGCAACCTATACTGTCTGCATAAAATATTCAAGTAAACACCTGGCGGTGTTAGGTCAGTGCTC